TGTGGAGGCAGGCCTAGAGACAAATTTCTTGAAACCATAGATCAATGGAACACAAAACATACATAGAGTAGGATATCTACAGAATGGACTTATGATTCAGTTAAAAAGAAGTATCTGTAATCTTAGCTATTAATGTTATTAATTTGTTGTTATTTAATTATTTGTTATTTAACGTGTTGTTGTCATCATAATTTATTTTATTGTTAATCTAAATTTATCCTAGTTCTCTATCTAATAAAACCGTAACCTTTGACTACATGTAAACTTTTTGTTAAATAAAATTGTGTAAATATTAAATAACTGTGATGAATTTATTAAAATATAACATAAAGTCACAGGGGTTACTGTGCTTATTGGTATGATATACTAAACTAGGTTAAATATGGAATTTATGTTCGCTATATTGCGAAGTGAAGTAGGTTAAAATTTTATTATGGTTTCGTTGTGTTTTCTTTGACACTGGATCTCTTATTTTTTAATTTGAAACAATTTGGTGCGTTCATTTATTCATACTAAAAAGTAATTAAACCTCCAGACCTCATGGGAAAAAGTTCCGTAAAAGATTTTTTATAAAAAATCTTTGTACTTTAAAGGGTCATTTATTTTAATATTATTATATTAAAATGCATAATTCTATAAGTTAGAAAATAAATATGAAAGAATACTTTTGTTGTCGCAGGACAATTAATTTTGGGTCCCTAGTTATCTAATATTGAAAAAATCTTCAAAAAGACATGTTAAATTACTTTTGTTAACATGTATAAAGTTTTACGTAAGGCATTATGCTACGTCAAGTTGATAATAACACATAACATCTCTCATTTTATTGCATTTAATTGTCTGCAAGTAATTATTGTTTATTTAAGTATAATTTTAGCGAATTGGAAAGCAGGTTACGTTACGGTTTTTATTTCTAGTAATAAAGTGTATAATCAATTTATTAAGTTATCTAATTTATAGTTATAGTTTAAATTAGATAAATATTTAAATTTAATGAAACCCGCATCATATAAAAACAACACAAGACAGAAATTACGGTCTCCCATTTAGCTCACCTTCCCCTCTAGATAAAGTAACTTTCGATTAGCGATGTCGCTTGTAGAATCGACAAAATGACTCAAAATGTATACGAATAAATACGTGACAAGCACGTGACTTATCAAGTGTTGTCAGTTCCATACATTTTTGACTTTTCGATCAGTGATAGTGATAATCGAATATTACTTTGTTTAAGGACGCTTGTAGATTTCGGATGTTTTTAAACAATGCTAGAATTTGGGTAGGGATGACGTCCAGGGCGGTAGGCTGAAAGGGGTATCACGAGTTCGCAAAATACAGATTCTCACGAAATCCTGTTACCAATCTGGTAAAAATGGGGCTCTGTAGATACCTCCCTCAGGTCGCTAGTAGCTTTGTTAGTTATTTGCGTTTTGTTTTTAAAAACTGTAAAGCAACTATTTTGTACTTGAATCTTTGATGGACGAGTATGTATAAGTTAATCTTACTAATATTACAAATGCGAAAGTTTAGAAGGATATTTGTTACAGTTTGTAGCCTAAACGGCTGAACGGATTTCGATTAGGTATAAATGTAGAGGATAATCTGGAAGAACACATAGGCTACTTGCTTTTGTTTTTTTTTAACTCCACGCCTACGGAGTCGCGGGCGAAAGCTAGTTAAATATAATCTTAATTTATCTAAACGAAGTAACAAGATGTGCAAGTCTAATTATGTTTCCCAGCGTCTCCCAACACTCTGTAACGTACAAACAGTATCTGATGCAGATAGAATGGTATCATGTGAATGAACTTACGAGAGTTTATTGTTTCTACTGGTATCATTTGCATCAATCATTACAACGGTTTGATGAAAAAAACGTGTTTGTTTTGTTAGAAAGTATTTAATTAATAATGTAAATGATTTTAAAACTCGAAAAGAGTTGGTTTCCGCTTCCTAAAAGACATTTTAAATATCAGAAATACACTAATAACACCCTGAATATGACATATCTTGTATTTAGCTGATTCTATTATAATTACTTTCTTATTGCATGAGCCCATTTGCGTTACCTTCCGATCCCTCCTACATATCCATTGTTCTCAGGAACAGAGATGTTGCAATCTTTAACAAGCGTGAGCGTACGATCATTATCTTCCACATTACCGATTTGCATGCGTTTTGTTCGAGCGCTTCCTATTTCGTAAGTTTTCTAATCATAACGTTCTGATTATTTTTTAGGTTAATTTGTCAACGGGATTCGTTACAACGCCATCTAGTTCTTGTTAATGTAAACTTCTTTTTTTAATTTCACGGAAATGTTTTTACATGTAAATTTAAAGTTAAAATGTGACTGATATTTGTAGATAAAAATTTAATAAAAACATGATATACAAGAGAGATAGTTTTCACATTTTCACTGTCTATAATTTAGTATATTGCAGTCTTTATACGCATTTACGATGTCAGCTAATAAATTCCATAGCTGATTTTATAGCGTGGCATGAAATGAGACAATTTCCTACATCCTCTTAAATGTAATTTCTACCATAAAGTGGAACACTTTTCTTAGAGTTTAAAGTCTATCGACTATTTCTTGAGGTTATTAGTACTTACGGTTATCTAGTGCATATCTTTAGGTAACTTAATATCTATTTGCCTAATTTGTATAATTTTTGCACCTATAATCATATATAAAAATAATAATAAATATTATAAATGCAAAAGTTACGATGGAAGGATGTTTGTTAGCGTTTGTAGCCTAAACAGCTGAACCGATCTCCATGAAATTTGGCACAGGTTTAGAGCATAGTCTGGAAGAACACATAGGCTACTTTTTATCCCGGGAATAGTTATAGTTCCCGTGAGATTCATTAATTTAGTTTTTTAATGTTTACTCGATCATTCTGCAACGGTTCAACGTATCTTATTGAAATTTGGCACAGATATAAAGCAAAGTCTGGAGTACACATGGGATAAGGTTCATTTCCGAGAAATGTCCGGTTCCCGAGGGATACGTAGCTCTTCTCTCTCAACGAAGTCGCGGGCAACGTCTAGTAATAAAATAAACGAGTCATTACAATCATACGACACGTGACCAACACGACTGGACGAATATCGCGTGGTGTAACCTTGCTATTAGTCATAGTGCGTGGGTACGTGTGGGCTAAGTGACAAGGTTCAGCGGGTCGTGTATCGTCTTTACATGTGGGAAAATCAATTGCACAAAATGCATACCATCATTTGTTATGTAGGTGGTAAGTTAGTGAATGTTTTTACCTTGACTGATATTATTTGCATGTGCTTGTAACTTAATAGTTTGTCAAAGCAATGTTATAATACAAAAATAATTAAGTTAACCATTCGAAATTTAATGAAAGTATAACGTTTACTGGCTTGATTAACTGGTTTTGAGCTACTTTTGATAATTGCTTTGTTTTTATCTAGTCAAGCTGTCTTAATCAGCCTTTCCATCCAATATCCCAACTAATTTTTTTTTTCTGTCACAAATTAACATCTTGAATGGTTTGTTAACACAGTTGCATTAATGTTAAAATAATCGTAAATATTTTTTCTTGTTTTGCTATTTTTTTTCACACGCTTCCGCTTATAGCTTACACCGCAATAAAGCAAACTGTAGCAGTGCGTGGCGAGCGAAAGTTCCCGCACATCGGACCATAGATGATAGCCACTTGATATTACGTCTGTTTATACTAACATATCATTTGATAGAAAGAGATACACGACTAGAGATAATTGTCTGTTGTAATAACTGAACGAAACTCTTGAAATTATCCATAGATGTAGAGAATATCATAGAGTCTGGATGAATACATTGGCTGTTTTAGAATTCCTAATTCTAAGTTTAATTAATTCGTGTTCCCTCTGACACATTACTCTGTGTGTATTAAGGTCGAATACGAAATTATAAGTCGCCGTAAACGTTTCTTTGTGGCGAAGCGAATATGAATATTAAAATGTATAACATTTTGCCGTGTTGCATTATTTAGTGATTCAAGGACGGCTAAGATCCTTGTAGCGCGAGCTCCAATTTCTTTGATGCCTTACACTAGAAGTGCTAGCGCATTGTGTAGTAGCGAAGCGTTACATTGATTTGTGACATGAAAAATATTAACTGCTTTTAGTATTTTTGTTTGAAACTTGTTTGTAAGAAATTTAGGAATGAGATGCAATTAGTTGTAAGTGTAATGTTTTTTAAAATAACTAATAACATCATACTTTAAACTAATATTATAAATGAGAAAGTTGAAATGGATGGATGTTAGTTTCTACATAAGCTACTGTTAAGTTATTTTTATATTCCACACGGACAAAGTCGCCTGCAAAAGTAGTTCATTATAAAACATTTAGAAGTGCCTAGACTTGTCTTTTTAGTAGTTTAAAAGCGCGGGCAGACCTGCAACTAAATGGTCTGACAACTTTTTAGTGGCTTTGATACCCATGAGGTTATATGGATGTACGCACACTACTCAATTGTTAGTTGAGCAACTAAACAGTTGAATTGGCTGCGTAACAATCGACAATCGCACAACAGTTATGTGATAGTTTAAACTGATCTTATGTTTAATTGCTAGTAAATATCAATGTTTTAAAACTATTTTGTCCAATGAAATAAAATAGCTTCTCAACGCGTCGCGTCGATAGTAAAATAACACCGGTCAAGTCTACACTAGCCTTGGAGAGACAAGGCCGCTGAGGCAGGCCAATTTTTTTAATTTACTGCCTTTTATTGACTATGTTAATACAAAAATTAAGTAACTTTTTCTAAAGTCATTGAACCATGAAACATTTGCATTAAATACATAAAATACGTATATCATTATTAATTTTATTTACTAGTTACTTAAATGTACTTTTTTAAACAAAAACCAAATCTTATTTAAATCAAAAATATAAATGAATAGTTTTAAATATTCACAAACTCTACATATAATTAACTGACTTAAACAAGACTAATGATACAATGTTTTGTTGTTTAACAGAGCTGTGCCAACAAGTAAAAGAAAAAAGGAAAAATCCTTCGCAATTCTAACTGAACCTCCAGACCCTTCGCGACCAACGAGTCCGAGGTCATTGCCCTTGGACATCCGCCACGGTACCGGCAGAGTATCGCCCTTTAAAGGTATCTATTTATTATTTAACCTCGGGCTTTACCAAGTTACTAAAGTGTTACTTACTAATGTGTTGCATTTTATAATAGGGCGAGGCTTCCGGGAAGAAACATCCCGACATACAACTCCTAAAACTTCAGCGGCCAACTCCAGATCCTGCTCACCAACAAAAAAACGAACCACCACACAATCAAACACCAAAATGGCCCAAGTGGCCACAATCCCTCCACCGACGATACTAAGTCGACCGCGCTCCCCTCGGAACTTTCTGAAAGCAAACATAGAGGAAGTAAAAGAATTAAGCGAATTAAATAGAGAAAAGCACGAAGCAGAAGCTGAAATTAAGAGGCAACAAGAAGAGGAAGCTTTACTAAAAGAAATGGGTTTATTAGATAAACCTACAAGTAGAAGTAGAGTAGGCTCCCGTGCAAATTCCAGAAGCACTTCTCCTAACAAAATAAATCTCAAGTCAAGATCGAACTCACCGTTGGCAGTGAAGTTTGATAACTTACCTACAAGTAAAAAGGAACCTGCTAAAACTATAGGGAACAAACCAAAACCTACAACGCACAGGTCTAGACTTACCTCGCTTTCTAAAACGCAAACTCAATCAAACGATACCTCGCCTAAGAATTCCAAAATTCCCAAAAGACAGAATTCAGTATCGCCAACGAGAAATTCACGAAATTTTATTAATTATAGACGACCCTTTGACAATAATTTAAATAAAAATCAACGTTTTATATCTAACAGTACCAGTAGTATTCACGAAACCATCAAAATTGGGAGTCAGGTTCACGATAAGCGTGCTATAAGTCAAAGCGCTGAGTTTCTAGATGTTTCTCCAGGTGTTGTCCACAGCAAACCTCCTATATCTCCTGGTAAAGTAGGCCCTCCACCTACAAATAGAGCGATTAGCACCAAACGACTTTCGCCAATAGTTGGCACTCCTAATAAAAGTCCAAATGATGATCCTAAATCGGGTTCAGCTAAAAATACACCAAAACCTACTCCAACAGCGCGGAAATCAGTAAAAACTGCCGGCACCCCACCTGCTGCATCTAGAATAACTTCTAGACAAACTAGTAGAACTGCTAGCAGAGATCCAAGTCCCGAGAAGAAGGTCAATGGTAAAGTTACAACTGGCTCTAAATTAGCAGCAAGAGCACCGAGTACGAAAGCTAACGTCACCAACAAAACCGACGTCAAAAAACCGATGAGCAGAACTAGCAGTATGAAAAGCCTGACACGAACATCCAGTACTAAAAACATCAATGAAAAACCACCATTAGTTAAAAATAAAGACAAAAAGAATGACCTAAACGAGAAAGCTAAATCAACAAGCAAAATAAATGAAATAGGAACGAAAAAAGCCACTACAGAACAATCTTCAGAAACCACAACAAAGGCCAAACAAGACAACGTTGCAAATGAGGAAATAAGTTTAATAAAAGACGTTGCAAAGGATGATGAAGAAACGACTAAACAAGATAACGAAACTCAGTACGATAAAATTACAAACGAGAAAGGCGACTTGGTTATATTAACTAAGAAAAATGTGGTTTCTATGACAACTGCAGCCATTACTGCCCAACCATTGGAAGTCGTAACTACCGTCACTAACCAACTACCAGTCGCGTTAGAAAAGGCTCGGGAAAAAGGTATTTTCGAAAGATTAGGATCGAAGGACTCTCTTCTTCCTAAGGAAGGAGATAAAGATGAAACTGAAGTAAAGGATAATTCAACAAAACATAATATTACACTAAAAGACGTAACCGGAACTAAAGAGCCTGCAGCACCCAAAGAAGAGAAAAACGGAAAACATGACGACAAAAAACCACCGAAACCTACAAAAGTTTTATACGGAGATGATAATATTAAACTCAAATTATTACAACCACCTTACAACAATCCTCAAGTGGAACGCGTTAAAGAAAAAATTGATTCAATATTAAAAGAACCGGAAATATCCACAGAAAACATTCTAGCTCCTGCTAAAAAACTTGAAGAGAAGGTCGCAGAGACAAAGCAAACGTTTAAAAATGTCGCCGACAAAACGAAATCTGACATCCATGATGCTAAAGTAGAAGCTGAGGACAATTTAAACAAAATGAAAGATCATATTGAAAAAACGAGCGACACAATAACTGCAGAAATGCGTTCAGAAGCTACAAAAATTGTCGACAGCATAATAACACCGATCGAAGAACCAAAACATGATGAAAACCTGAAAGAAACTATCAAAGAAAACATTGAACCAATAGTAACAGTAGTTAACGAAAAGAACAAGAATGACATTAAAAAGACAGATGTAGTAAAAATGACGGAAACTTTAGTGAAAGGAGACGCAGAAGTGGAAGTGCAGAGTTCAAATGACTCAACACCAGGAGTAGAGAAGATCAAAATAGAGAAAAAAGCAGCCGATGGCAGCGTGTCTGATAAATCTGCAACAAGCAATGGCGGGTAAGTTTAAACTATTATCCAAATATAGGTCATTTTAACCAGTACTGTGTTGTTCTAATCCACAAAGGTTTAGTGTAGATTTGGAACCTAAAATATCCACTTAACGAACTATAAGTGTAGTATTAAGTCGATATTCGCATAATCAATAGTTAGTGGTAAATAACTTGAGTCAGCCGCGTCCTGGCATCAGACCCCGCGCTGACCGGTTGGCGTGACCACAGACCTCATTACCATAGAACAGGGTTGTCACACACGACATATAAATGTAAAAAAAAAATATAATTATAATTTCATATTTAAATTTAATAACTATACTGGAATAAGACTTAAATTATCTTGACTATTTGTTATAAAGAAGTAAAATGATGCATTGATAATAACATACAAAATGGTAGAACGCAACTTTAAGTAATAACTTCTGTAATGCTTCAATCTTCTAGTTATGTTCTATACAACCACTTATTTATTTATTCTTCGTAATTCTTATTTGAACTTCACATTCATTAATTTTATAAGGATCAACGACCTAATATATCTGTCAATACAATTTTCTTGTAATATTTTAACAGCTATCGTTTTAATTTCCGTTGCGTTCACTATTAACCTATTAAATGTTGCCAGCCCTAGCGGACAACGCGGTACATCAGGCGGGCGATTTGATTTATATTAGGGAAGTTTGAGGATCTCCTCACAGATTACGAATACTAACCAATCATGGTTTAATTCATTTAAGATAGTTAACGAAGAAAAATATTGTTTTTATCATAATTTTACAATTATGCCCTATTTACAAATACGGTTTACTATTTATAAGTAAATAATATAAGAAAACGTAACACTAAAACTTTTCATTATAAATTTCATTGACCAATCGTATACAAAAGAAAATTATATAAACAAAAATCAACCAAGTTTCGCTCAATTTGAATATTTTCTTGTACAAATGAATGCGTAAAATTGTAAGAACTCGAAACGGCCCTTATGAAATTTCACCCTTAAGAAATTAGTTCACGCCAGTCGAACATGACCCGTCGTCTTAGCCGCGCGTCCGCCATTTTGAAATAGCATGGCGCGAAAATGTAAAATACAAATGTCAAAATTTAAAATGTTACAATCAATTTCTACGCAAATGTTCGCGAAAAATATTGTGTAATTATTAAAAATACTAGTTATAACTTATTTTTTTGTAAATAATGCTTCATAATAGAACTGTGTATATCTTACCAAATGAACTATTGCCGAAGCGGTACGGAATTTCTAGCGGGTAATTTTTATATTTAAAAATACGTTTGCATTTTATTGTTTAATTAAAAGTGCTTCCTATCTTTCTGTTGATTGTTTTAGTAAAATAAAATTAATGCATCTTTAGACATATCGAGTTAAAATTACATTGTTACCATAACTATTAATTTTTAGTTATCCCGGAGAATCCTCGCTTTTAAGGTAATTTTTATCTTGACTTATAGTTAAGCAATTAAACAACGATAGTACATTTTCTCTTTCTTTTGTACAAAAAAATAATAAAAACCCCCTTTCACCACTTTCAGTTTCCCCCAAAGCACAAGTACGACACCTAAACCTCCCCCTAGATCGCGTCAAACCAAACAAGAAATGCAGTCCCCAGATAACAGCAAGGAAAGTACCCCAGTTGAGAAAAAACCAAACATCTGCTCCAGATTGATGGGAAAATGTAAAACAAAATGTTGCTCTTGTTGTACAAAGCCGAAAGACGACGACAGAGAAACGCCAGAACCGAAAGAAACAAGCGATGAAAGGAAAGAATTAAAAGAAGCAAAAGATGGAGAGGAAACGAAAGAAAAGAAAGGAGTGTTGAGTAAATTGAATTGTTTTAAAAAGAAAGATGCGGAAAAAGAAAAGGTTTTAGCAGAAGTTGGTGCTGGTAAAGTAAGTTTTATATTTTTTATAAATGTTAACTTTCATATAGAAATTATTTTTAAAGGGGGTTAAAAGGGGTTTTTCGTTGCCAAGTCTTTATAGCTAATTAAATCAGCTTAAGCAATCAAATTATACTTGATAGGGGTTACAAAATAACATATAGGGATAATTTTAAAATTCTATGTATTTTTTCCAAGTACGTACTTATGTTCTTTTACGTTTCGTGTTATGTTAAGCTGATTATAGAACTTGAAATAAATTACAACTTGTGACCGCTACTTTGATTGGGATCAAGGCTTTTCCGTGAAAACGTTACATTTAGTTAACATTGTTTTTCACGGATTAAAAAAAACTGCATATTGACCGACGTTACGCGGTGTAATGTTACGAAGTGTAACATCACTAACATACAAGCCTTTATTTTATACTTTATAACCATCATCTCAATGTTCGTAATAGGCGGCAACTATAGAATTTGAGAGTGAAACGAAACGCAAGCGAAAACTTCGCGACATCCTGTGCGGGTGCTGCCGGCGGCGCGTCGGCGACTCGTCGGCGCCTCGCCGCGTCCTCGCCGCGGACACCACGCCGCCCCTCGTCAAAGAGGCCGGCTGCTGCGGCCGGAGGAGGAAAGACGTCGAGAGAAGGGACAGCATACTCAGCGATAGCACGCCTAATACGTTAGTATTATCTATTTCCTTATAACATTTCTCACACATAACTATAAGAGCGTGCACACACTTTTGACTTAACTATCGCAAAACTCGATTTTTAATTGTGCAACTAAACAGTTGAATTGTCTGCGAAACAGTCGACAATCGCACAACAGTTTAGTCAAAGGTCTGTGCTCTAACACGAAAAACCTAGTTATCTTACTTCTTACTAATATTATAAATGCGAAAGTTTAGATGGATGGATGGATGTTTGTTAGCGTTTGTAGCCTAAACGGCTGAACGGATCTCAATGAAATTTGGTACAGATTTAGAGCATAGTCTGGAAGAACACATAGGCTACTTTTTATCCCTGGAGTAGTTACGGTTCCTTTGGGATTCATTAATTTAGTTTTTTAATGTTAACTCGATCATTCTGCAACGGTTCAACATATCTTATTGAAATTTGGCACAGATATAAAACAAAGTCTGGAGTACACAAGGGATAAGCTTCATCCCCGAGAAATATCCGGTTCCCGAGGGATACGTAGCTATTTGTAATTCATGTAGTTCGTATGTTTTCTAATACTACGCGGACGAAGTTGCGGGCAACAGCTTGTTAGTTATAATATTTTAATGTGTAATGTATTTTACATCAGTTGCTGTAACTTCGCCCTGTGTCGGTGGATGCGGGGCGCGTGCCGCCGCAAGTCGGAGCCCGCCTCCAGTCCTCGGGCGAGCGTCTTCTCCAAGAACAAGAGCCTCTCTCCCACACTGCCGCCAGAAGTAAGTATACACGAAAGCATCTTCATTACCTCACCAATAGGTCCCCATTAAGCTTGGTATCTAACCTAAGTTAGAAGTGACTAGGCCATTAACAATCATGTTGGACTACTCTTAATGAGCCATCAACTCTCTGCACTCTATCTAAGGTCTACCTTAGGGCCTAAGTGTATTATTACTATGACAATTCCACAATTAGGGATGTACTTAATGACCGTTAAATGTTTCTGGGACAGACATAAATACAATTCAATGTCTCTATGACAAAATATTTTTAAGAACTTCGTTCATATTAATAATTATCTATATCTATACTATTATAATAAAGCGTAAACACACACTTCTTTGTTGCCTAAAATGTCACAAATTACAACATATTTCTGAATAATTATTTTTTTTAATAAAAAGCCCTACACTAACGTCACGCTTTAGGCTATATATTTTCACGTCATCAAGGGAGGTAAATATTTTGGACTAAAACCCTAATGTGGGAAAGAGACCATAAGTTGATACCAACATCAAGAAAGTAAGATTGCCAAGGTTTGTTATGTCATGTCATTTTGGCATTTGCTATTGATAATTTGACAAATGAAAACAAAATATTCATAATTTCATGCGGATGAAGCCGCACGGGAACAGCTAGTCTTGTATAATCTACAAACATTTCTGCCGCATATTTTTCGAAATCAAGCTTATATAGAAATTCATATCATTATAACCTAATGCTAAAATGTCCAGTCATTAACCTTTCGACAAAGGCCTTCACGCAAACTGAGTCACATCTCCTCGGAACTCAAATATTAGAAGTTACAACACTAACGTATAATTAGGGACCTTTCTTGGTAAAGGAAAGTATTTTGTCTGCTAAGAGCGTGCGCACATTTGAAAACTATCGCATAACTGTTGTGCGATTGTCGATTGTTTAGACAATTCAACTGTTTAGTTGCACAACTAAATATCAACTAGTGTGCGCACTTCCTTATAAGATCATAGGAATGAAAGAAAGGACTAAGCATGGCGATAGTTTAGTCGAAGGTGTGTGTGCGCCCTAACTTTTTGTTATCGAGTTTATAAAATTATTCTGTTCGAGATATACGTTATTCGATATATTTTTTGCACAGTCATCAAATTAATGATACATGGAACGCGTTAACGAAATTTGCCGTCAATTAGGGCTCGATGAAAAAGCTTTTTTTAAGTTATAAATTTTTTCGCTTTAATGTTATTAGTGAATTATTTCTAATAATGTTAGTAAAATTATATTTGTAATATAGTTTTTAAACGAAGTAAAATTTCTATTAAACTTCCCGTATACAAGTAAACGCCTGCTAAAAAACCAAACATGAAAATGTAACTAAAATGTCAATATACCAGGAGGTCGCGTGAGAAAGTTTTCTTCAACCAAGATTATCATCTCTACTAAACATTACCACGAAACTTTATAAAATTAACCAAACAAATTGTTAAAAGCCAAGGTCGACTAACAATGGCCACCAACAGATCGATATTTCATCAAAATAAAAGGATTATTGTGTTTTGATTTCAATTCGGAATACTGCATTTGTGGCATCGACGTTGCTTCTGTTAGTTCTCTCTGTTGCTCGTAACCATATTAATAAATATGTCTATATCTCATTTAACCCCGTCTCCTCAACTGTCGCAACATGTAACAATAATAGTAACGAGTGATTCAAACAAAAGTCGCATTGAATTTGATTGTGAAGTGGAGGTAATATTTTTTATTAATTTTGTTGCGTTGTAATTTTTATAAATAAATGCACTTTAACTCCGTAGATTTTGTCTAGATAACTTAGAATATATTTAATTTTATTACATATCGATTAAATTTACTTATTTTAAAAATATCGAATATCGCGATCCTGCTCGAAGGACCAATAAAAAACCAGTTAAAATCCCTCTATCAAAAAGTGAAGCTTATTTTTATACATATCGCTGCGATATTGTATTTGTTTTTTCTATTTATCTCATAAATATTTTATATGATGTGTCACAGGACACTCGTACAAAGCTGGACGCGAGCCTGGTGGAGCACACCAGCGTGATGCGCGGCGCCATCCCCGTGCTGCCCGCGCCCCTCGCCTACTTCTGTCTGCTCTGCAACATCCTGGTGCCGGGACTCGGTGAGCTGATAACAAAACTAGTAATCTACTAGCCTGGAGTTTTGCGTATTCTCTTATAGTACGTGGCACTGATCACAAATAGCTTGTCAAAATAACACAGCATAATGACAGGTATTGTATAATATATAATATTAAAAATTGTATAATATTAAAAAAATCTCTTATAAGACTAGTTGTTGCTCGCGACTTTGTCCTCATCAAATAAAAAAATGTTTAAAAGACAGATAAATTACCTTTCTTAATGTGAAAGAATTTTTAAAATCGGCCCAGTAGTTTTTAAGTTATTTCAATATTTAAAAAAATACAAATCTTTGCTCTTTATAACATTAGTCTGACTTTCATAGGGTTGTTGTCTAATATTATATTTAGTAATGTTTGTTTGTAATTTCAGGTACAATATTGAGCGGGCTGTTCTGTCTGTGTTTCGGTATCCCGAGGTTTGGGATACACGACACTCCGAGACACAGGATTGGTGAGTCTTTACAATTACATATTTCGTTTATTTAACAATGAAATAAACGTTACGTATTAATATAGTTCTTTTTTTTTTGTTTTTTTTTTTTATAAAGGATATTAACTAGTAGATTCTTTATTATTTTACCAACTAAGCAACTAAGCGCTAGGATATGGTTCACGACAGTCGAATGTCGGGATTCGAACCCTCGACCGCAAGATCGGTAGTACGTACCACAAACCATTATGGTATTGGCGGTTGTGCTATAATTTAGTGAAAGGTATGCGTTTGCTCTAAAAGTCTGATTTCGACGTGTATAAATAAATCTGTTTGAATTTTTTACATTGTTATTATTGTCAGGTTCGTTGTTGATCAACGTGTTGGTGGGCTGCGGGCAGCTGTTCACGGTGCTGTTCTGTCTGGTGGGCTGGGGCTGGTCCGTGTGGTGGGGCACCATCATGGTGCGGATATCGCGTCAGTACCTCGCACACTGCTAGCTTTGTTGATTTCTCTATGGTCGCTTGTCAAAGTTTTCTGACCATAGATATAAGATGAATCACTAAATGTTAGATGACTCCTTAATTATGCCCAGTCTAACAGTTTTATGGATGTAAATTCTTTTATTTGCAAATGTTTTATGTTATTTTCGCCTCTTAATCCATGCTCGTGTTATTAAAAAAAAACAATAGTAGGCTTATGTTCTACACGCAATGCTCTACATATATGCCAAATTTTATTAAGATCCGATCAGTTTTGACGGCAAACTCTAACAAACATCCATCAATCTAGACTTTCGCATTTCAGCTTTTAAAGTGTATTTCTGTATTTTTATAGGTAAATATCGTAAGTTGAAAGCGGAAGCCGCGCTGGAGGAGGCGGAGGCGCCGCCAGTCACCGCCAACAACCACACGCGCGCATAGTCACTGACAGCCGATAGCTGACAGCTGACAGATGACAGATGACAGGTGACAGGTGACAGCGCCAACACCACACGTCACTACAGGCATGGGTAACTCATCTTTTGAACTGCAGATCAGCTCACGATTTACACCAGATCAGTAAAACTACTCTCAAATCGACTAAATTTGTACTTTTAATAGTTATTGAGTTGTCAGAGTTGTGTCAGCTCATGTGATTGACATTTTATTGTTATCTCTATCTTCACAAAGGGGAAGAAAGGAATGGAAATTGGAGATCGTTGTGACGTAAAATTGCAATATTGTAAGAATTCACGAATCTCAAACTAAAATGTATGTAGAATTTAACTCTATTAATTAAATATGAGCTTAAAGCTTATTATTAAAATGTATTGTAAATAATAAATAGATACCTTGAAATACGTAATAAAAACGCAACAAGTATCGATTTGTCGAAATAAAATGTTTAACGAATTACTTATAATATTAATGCGTTTTGAATAGAATGTGGTTAAAATGAAAACGTAATAAATATAATTGAAAATGTATAGTATCTGTGGTCATTGTTAAAATTGGAAAAATATTTTATCTGTATTAATGTTATCTTTTTTTTTTATCTAAATCAGCGTTTATTAAACATAATTTTGTCGTATTAATGCACCTTTGACTAAACTATCGCAATAGGGAATATGCATGTATTTTTTTTTCTTTTTTTAAACGATTCTACTTTTTATAAAATAACCAGAAAAAAAATTGACGCGAAAATATTTAAACATTGAGCTAAAAATAATAAAATAAAATTACGACCATTTTCGATCGACTAAAACGTGACCGGATTTTCTTCATTCCTTCATTCCGGATTCTCGCTTTGATTGTATTGATGAAGCGCACACTCGATATATAGTTGTGCAACTAAACAGTTGGCTGCAAAACAATCGACAAGCGCACAACAGTTGTGCCATAGTTTAGTCAAAGATGTGCGTCCACTTTAATACGACAAAAATATTTAAAACATACAGGTTCTATTAATTGTTATAAGAACAAAGTGGATATTAGAGCGGTTTTTTTTATAATTAAAAATATTAGTAAATGAAATATGAATATAAGACAATGAAATGATTATATAAAATCATGCTGATTTAATAATTTTATCTCCAAATTGTTATAGAAATGTAAATAAAAGTTTTTCCACAAATGCATTACCGTTGGTTTCCACTGTCGCAACACTAAAGAGATTTTGAAAAGTGACAATGTTTCTACTTGAGTGTGTTGGCAGTGTCAAGGCAGAATCCAACCTTTAAATTTATATAAATTCAGTAGTTTAGAATTAATATCTGCTGGTCAGAAATTAACTTTTTAATTATGGATTGTACCAAGCTTCCAGAACTTTCCGACCTTTTTGGTCTTTTTAAATTAGTAGATTTTAAATATTGTTAGTAAGACATTAAATAAATAAATTTTATATTATCAATGGATCAGTATTTTAACGTTTTTGTTCATTTAAAAAAATCAATGTTATTTTTATTGAATAAATTTGATTTGTAAATGAAAGTATTAAATTTAAATAAGTACTATGTGGCATTAAGCCCCAATTAATTACAAAAAAATCTATAACTTTATTATAGTGTTGCCAGGTGAAAATTATATTATCTTTTTAATAAAATTAATTTTCAAAATGTGATAAAAACATTGTCTTCACAATACTAGATGTTAAGGCAAAAGAATCATATATCTTTAAAAATTATTTCAACGAAAATGTAAATAAAAGTTGAAAATAAAACCAGCTTTTATTGACCAAACTAAAAGATTATGCAATTTTTAACAGCTATTTCAGTTAAGTTTTAAACATTATTATGTTAAAATAAAATAATCACTTTATACATATTGAGTAAATGTTAAAAATTATGTTTGTTTTATTTCCACAGATGAAAAAACACCTAAAGTTTGCTACACACGCATTGTTAAATGTACATGCAATTTTCATAGTTCATTTAAAACTATCAGAACTGGGCGTCTATAGAGACCTTAAAAAAATATCTTACTAATATAAATGCAAGAGTTTAGATGGATGTTTGTTAGAGTTTGTAGCCGAAACTGCTGAACGGATTTCGATGAAATTTTGTATAGATGTAGAGGATAGTCTGGAAAAACACTCAGGCTACTTACTTTTGTTTGTTTTAATTCCACACGGACAGAGTCGCGAGCGAAAGCTAGTGTATATTTGTTTATTAAAGATAGTCTTAAATATGTCAATGTATTGTTGAAAACTTACTTTTTAAAAAATATCACGATTCAAGTAATATTTTGTTTCATAAAATTAATAATAAAAATTGAATACTTTTCTTAAATCATTTTATTCGTTGTGGAATTAAATAAAACTTCAAATATATACAATTTGACGTTTATTTTATTACATCCGTTAAAATTACAATAAATAGAGTGGGTAGAGCGACAGGGGAGGGGAAGGCGGTGTCTTCTGTGATACAAACTTCTACAGGGTGCTGCTTTCACGATACAAGTCCAAATAACATCAAAACTAATACAACAATTACGAACAAATACTAATATTTTTACTAAACAGACCGATTTTAACAGTTCCTTTAATGTACTCAGTTAAATTTAATTAAAAGTTCAAATACACTGAGGTTTTGTGAATTTTATAAGTATTTTTTGTCTAAAATGTTAAAAAGAGTCTGTTAAATAAAAAGGTTACAATTTTAAAATAAGAGCTAGCACCGTTGACTTAACTATCGCACAGCAGTTGTGCGATTGATTGTTTGGCCTATTAAACTGTTTAGTTGCACAACTAAAATCGAGTTCGCTCTATATAAGCTCATAGAAATCTAAGCGAGAAAACAGTTGTGCGATAGTTTAGTCAAAGGTGTGCGTTAAAGTATTTATTGTTGGTATTAGAAACTAGATCTAAGGGTGTATCACTGCTCCGTTTTGGTATATTATTTATATTGAAAACCTATATGGACTAAGGAATATGGAATAGTATTGTAAATTACTAACAAATGCATTAAAATGTTAACATCTTCAGATTATATGCATTTGCAAAGTCTAAATTGGTTTCAGAAGCTGTAGACATTATAACTTGCAATGCTACCATATTCACGTAGTTTTTTTTACAACATGAGTTGGCAAACGAGCAAGCGGCCACGTGAATCCATCAAAATGGCGAAGCGACTGGCCATAGACATCCGCAATTGCAGATGCGTTGCATTAATCGACGGAGACGCATAAAGAGGATATTTCCTCTTCCTATGCGTCTCTTCCACCGTCAAATCCACCCACGTTGTGAGAAAAAAGGGTGGGAAGGAAAAGGGACTAAAGCTGGGACTTCGGCACCACACTCAGTTAACTGGGTTTTAATAGCACTGAAGTTGGAAAATTTATAATAAGGCAAGTTAAACACCAAAACGGTGCAGTTCTCACACGGAAAGCCTTTCAGATATACCTTATATGGAAGAATAGTGCAATTACAAATATATTGAATATCTACATAAATAGATAAATTACAAAAGGCAATGAGATCCCATTTTATTTATAAGGAATTAAACTTATTGTTTTTAAAATAATGCTTGATAACTTAAATTTACATATACATAGTTCATAGGTATAAAATAACTAAGTTAATTTTCGTCACTAAAATTCATAGAAAAATAATAAAATAAGTTGTAACTATTATTTTAATGTTTACTAATTATTTTAACTTTAGAAAAAAAATTACCAAATTATCGATTTTTACTGCTTTTTAGTAAACCAATGATTTTTTTAATAACAGAAATATTATGCAAAAATGAGATATATCTTACACGTATACTCAGATATATAATACATAAGTATATTTAACATAACTTTATGTTAAATCGTTCACGCATTAAAAAACTTCTATTTCAGTCACAATTCATAAGTTTGTTCTGAAAAATATTTCAAAATCACTTTAAAAACGTAAATAACTGTACATAAAGTACATACGTTCCAATAAATAACCAAGTAGTTTTTAAGTTAATGAAAAGCTTTTGTTTTCCCGCCATTTTTAAGTTACAGTGAAGTATGTAAAGCATTTATATGTAAATTAACTATATGTACATTTGTTTTAAATCGACATTGTTTAGTATTGCACAGTTTTTAAGCACCTCGATATAACTGATTGCAAATAGAAAAGAAACTCGGTTCAAATAGTGTGGGGAAATATCGATAGAGGGCGCTCTAAAGTGGTTACAAACAAAATCTGTTTCATCAGAAAATTATTTAGAGAGAATTACTTCGAAAATTGTTGGCATTTTAAATGGAAAATGTTTAACTTATAAAGAAAACTGTTAACTTTATTAGTTTGAATTATGCCAGTTATTATATACATAAAATATAGCATTAATCATACGTCGGCAAGATGACTAATAAAATAAAATATAAATATCAAATTTAAAGTAAAAATTACATTAAATATTTACATTTATAAAAAAACCGCAATATTGAAGTAAACGCGAAGATAATGAACATTATCTATGGCAAATTGTACTTAACATCCACCGACCGGTTTCATTTACAGATTCATTTGAAACTCTTTGGTAAACCTGACAATCCGCCGGCCGCTAAATTATAAACCGACTTGTACTCACAACTTACAACCTAACATCGGTTTAAATACTGCAGAAATGTAGGAACTCGCATTGTCCAAATAGCCAAATGCAGTTTTTAGTAGCGTTTTTCCACACCAAAAATGTCAAGCACAGCCGTCACCTTAAATTATCATATATGCTAATCGAAAAATAATATATTTAACTATATCGTAGGAAACTGAGTATTATCTGTCTCACAAAGGCCGAAACATTTTCCCAAAAACCAAGTAAATGGAAAAAATCACATCACATTAATTTTAGCGCCATCTAGTTTCGACAAACTATAAATTACAACGCCATCTATTATCGTAAAATGAAAACCTTAACATCAACGAATTCCTGATGTGTTTCGTTTAAATCCTATTTTAATATCAGAAAGCCGAGAGATGGCGTTAAATGTGCTTACTTTCTCGACCGTATTCACTGCAGTATACAGTTGTTTTTCCTTTGTATCTCGACATTAGAGAGGTTTCTTTCAATTTCGTCGTCCTCCGCTATCCTGTAAAAACACAAAACAGCTTATATATAATTCACAAAGTATGTAAAACATACAAAATATGTATACTTACGCTTTTTCTTGTTCGTCCATCTCTTGCACTAGTCTATCTCTTTCGTTCACAGCTGACAGTAACTCCTGTAAGTTGAGACAGGAAATTGTAAAACTTTTAGTAACTATAGGAAATGTAGACAGTAAACGGAGGTATTATGTTGGAGGTAGTTGTATAGCTGGAGGTAAATCTGCAGATGAAATGCTAGATATTACAACTTTGGTAAAAAATGGTAAAGTGTCTAACATTGGTGTCGTTGGCAAGGGCGGAGTTATCCTATGATCTGATTAGGTCTAGGATCAGCAATCAATAACATACTTTAATTAGAAATAGTATTTAAATCTGTTTAATAATTTTCCATTCAGTATAAACAGCCCTCCCATACCTCTCCAAATCTTGTATGCTTACTAAGTCGTAAGTGTACGAAATTACATATTGGAGGCGGAGGCGGAGGTATCTGAGGCGAATGTGCCAACAGATGGAGGTGTCGGGATGCGTATGCAGAGGCGAAGGTTTTAGAAGCCTTCAACGTTGATTGTGTCAAAAGATGAAGGTATCAGGAAGTGTCAGCGAGGGTTTCGTAGGCATAGGTGATGGAAGTGTGGAGGCGGAGGTGGAGGTGGAGGTACCTGCAGCAGCAGGCGCTCGCGGCGCTTCTGTCCGGGAGTCTTGCGCCACTCGTCGACAGCCAGCGAGAGACGCAGCTCGCGCGCCAGCAGCTCGCAGCGGCGGCTCAGGTCCTCCTCTTGCTCACTGGAATACAGCACACACTGTATACAAGTACAGTCGGGGAATTTGTAGGTGTGCCACTTCAACAAAAACAAATCGGAAGCAATTTGAATAAGACTGTTATGTAAAATGTCAGTGGCAGTTACTTTTCATTGTTACCTCGTTATCTGCCTAACTCAGTGCTACCTAATTGGTTATTTATACTATTATAAAGAGGAAAGAATTGTTTTTGTATTTTTGTATGTATTGAAATAACTTAAAAACTGGGCTGATTCCAAAAAAAACTTTCACTATTAAAATACTACGTTATCAGTAAGTAACATAGGCTATATTTTTCAATAATTTATCATTTCACGCTAACGAAGTCGCGAGCTTTAGAAAGTGGAATACTGCTGATTTCCCTGACTGTATGTGCAAGTACATGTAAATTTTCAACCTTATTGCATTATCAATATGGTATATTATTGTTATTACAATGTTATACGTACAGTATGTTGAGCTGCATCTGGCGGCGCAGTAACGCGTTCTTCTTGTTCACGAGGTGGAACCACTGCGACATCAGTCTGTCCTCCTCCTGCAACACACGTCACGTATAGTCTCTCTCTGTCGCTCGTCATTAATAGAATTACTGATACAACTAGAAAAGTCTAACAAATAGTAATTTTACTCTACAATACTAAATAATTACTAAATTTCTCAAATAGGAGTTATTGGTCTTTCTACATACAAAATTGATAAATATTTATTTTTAAACAATTAAATACAAAACTATAGTTTAATTTGTAAGGATACCGGGTTATAAGGAGTGCGGGTACAGGCAAGGAATATTTTCTTCCATTTCTTTAGCTGTGGATTATCAAATAAATGTAATTACCTTCTTATTGGCATAACAGTCGTTATCTACAGGGGAGGGGATAAATGGGGAAAGGAAATGAACGAGTAAGCGGCCTGAATCCGCCAAAATGGCAAGCGACAGCCTACTAAATTGACGGAGAAGACTCACATAAAGAGGATATTTCCCCTTCCAACACGTCTCCATCCAACAAATCCATTTTCCTTCCCATCCCTTTCTGTTAAGTCTGACAGGGAAAGAGACTAAAATCAGGCAACCACATCATCAGCGTGTACGCGAAATTACTTCCACTTCACGTCTATCTTCTGTGATATTGCGTTGGCAAGCCTTGCATTGTTAAGATGAAGCGGGCTTTACTACTGGAACATGGCTCTAGAAATGTTTTTTTCTAAAAAGAGGCATAGTCCCTTTCTCTTTGCCACCCATTTCTTATAAGGAGAAGTTGGAAAGGGGAAGTGGATTTGACGGTGGAGATGCATAGAAAGGGGAAATATCTCTTTATGTGCGTCTCCTCCTCCGTCGTTTAAGGGTAGGCAACGCATCTGCAATTGCGGATGTTTATGGGCAGCGGTCGCTTCGCCATTTTGGCGGATTCAGGTATCCTCTTGATTGTTTGCCACCTTATGTTATAAAAGAAAAGTTTGTCTCTGGTAAGTGTCCCGCCTGTACCTCCGTGTTGTCTGCGGACTCCATGACGCGGCGCAGCTGCTTCTCCAGCGCGGCGGCGCGCTCGTCCACGGCGCCCTGCTCGCGCTCCAGCGCCTCCAGCTCGCTCGCTATGTACGACCCCGACTCGTTGCCCTGGACAAGTGGTTATGGCATCTTTTATAGTTCCCCCAAGTTATATAACGATTTTTAAGGCATTTCAATGAATCAGGACGAAAAATCATACTAATATAAATGCGAAAGTTTGTAGCCTAAACGGCTGTACGGATCTCATTTAAATTCGGTATAGTTTGGAACACATAGGCTACTCAATTTTGTTTTTTTTATTCCACACGAAGTCGCCGGCGAAAACTAGTATTGAAAATAATAGTTCTTCAGCTCTCACTTTTTAATTTGGACAGATAACTAACTAACAATGTTTTTGCATTGTAATACACAGTGTTTAATGATTTTTATAAATCTGAAGAAAAAAATAAGACATCGTTTTTGATTTTTTTGAAAAAAAAAAAACTTAAAATCATGATTACTCAAAAATGGGTTACTTTTGTATTAAGCCTAAAAGGGGAAATGATCACAAATGAACCCCTCTATCACCTCTTGGAGGATTTCCTTGAATAACCCTGTACATTTAGACTAGCTGTTTCTGTGCGGCTTCATCCACATAAATTGCCATAACACAGTACACTTTTCGCAATATTTATGAATTCTATATTTGCTCAATCACCAAGCTAGAGTTGTGCTTAATACTTGTCCCCCTTAAAATGTACTATTTATTCCTTCCACTTGTATAGAAGTATAGATAGATGTATAACCTCGTCAGGCGCCAGCCGGTCCACTAGTGCTGTGAAGGATTGCAGCGGAGAACGTCGCGACTCGCTCTCGCCTATGCCTTCGACCACACGCTCTTCTGTAACATAAAATAACATAAAAATAAACTAAAGAACCGTTCAACTTTTAAAAATACGTACATAAATCAATTCAAACATTTATAATCTTTGTAATATAAATGCAATAATGTAGATAACTGTATGTTAGAAGATAACTCCGAAGCGGTTTATGAAATCTATATAAAATTAGTCACATATTAAAAAATTGTATGGAAGAATACATAGGCGTATTATATAATATATAATATATAATACACAGAATTATATAATAATATATGTCGCAGGAAGCTATAAATTGACTGTTGCTTTATGTGTAACAAACTTTATTGTCTTGCGTTTTAATATTGTTTAAGATAAAATTAT